ATGGATTTCTTGCTTCTGCCACAATTCCCCCAGCTGTGAGCCTTCCAACCTTCTAAGTATTCCTTTATATGTGGTTCAGAGTTCTGGCTCTGATACCTGAGCCTGCTTAGTCGGGTATTCTGTGTTGTTGTTGGCGGAGCTCTCCTGCTATACGTCCACCTGATCCGCCATCTTGTTTGTTCTCCGTGTATGTGGTTTTTATTTTGCATATAATATAAATATATAGCATGTGGATCTTACCCCAAATTACTGAAAAACTTGTGTTTGCCATATTGTTTTGCTTCAGAGTCATATTCTTCCTAATCATTCAGTAAATATTTATTAAGCATCAGTCTAATCTGCTTCTAGAGCTCTGTGGAGGACAAAGTACACAATTGGGACACCTTGCCCTCCCTCAGAGCTCAGTTTCTTACAATTTAGAAGTGAGATCAGATAAGTACATAAATAAGAAACATCCAAGGCCAAGTTGTTAGCAGCAGCATAGAAGGCACAAAGTGCAGAGAGTTCAAGAGAAGGGGGCATCACATCTGGTGTGGGAAGTGTGGGGAGGTTTCATGGATAGGCAGCATTTGGACTGAAACTTTTAAGAAAGGGTGGAATTTCAACAAGCACAGGTAGAAGAGTCAATTCCAAAAGTAGCCTCATTATGAAGAATGGCTTGGAGTGATTATAAACACAAATATGAAAAGTTTAAGTAAACTTTCTTGGATATTTGATAATTAAAAATATACTTCTTTTATGCATTTATGAACTTTCTCCCAGTTACGGGTATTATCTTCAGGATGAATGTTTATAAAAGGTCTTAAAACCATACAGCCACCACTCGTCTGTCAGTGTATCATACTGTGGTGACTTGTGAGTTGCTGTGATTCTGAAAGCTATGCCACTGATATTTAAATACCAGCAGGGTCACCCATGGTGGACCAGTTTCAGATGAGCTTCCAGACGAGAACAGACTAGGAAGAAAGAGTGACGAACTACTTCTGAATATTTAGTCACTGAAAACCTTATGAATAGCAGAGAAGAGAAGCACTGTCAGATATAATGCCAGAAAATGAGCCCCTCAGGTTGGAAGGCACTCAAAATGTGACTCGGGAAGAGCTGCCTCCTCAGTACAGTTGATCTTGATGACGCGAATGGAGTAAAGCCTGTGGGACCTTCTTTTGCTGATGAAGCACAACTCAAAATGAAGAGAATCAGCTGTAAACATCCATTGAAAATCGGAACTTGGAATGTATGAACTATGAATCTGGAAAATTGGAAGTTGTCAAAAATGAAATGGAATGTGTACACATCGATATCTTAGGCATTGGTGAGCTCAACACATGGTTTACTATGCTGGGAATGACAAAGAGGAATGGTGTTGCATTCATTTGTCAAAAAGAACATATCCAGATCAGTCATGAGATACAACGCTGTCTGTGATAGGATAATATCCATGCGCCTACAGGGAAGCCCAGTTAATACCACTATTATTCAAATTTACTCACCAACCACCAAAGCCAGTGAGGAGGAAATAAAAGAATTCTACCAACTTCTTCAATCTGAAATTTATCAAACATGCAATCAAGATATATTGATCATTACTGGTGATTGGAATGCAAAGGTTGGGAGCAAAGAGGAAGGATTATTAGTTGCAAAATACAGCCTTGGTGATAGAAATGATGCTGGAGAACACATGATAGAATTCTACAAAACAAATGATTTGTTAATTTCAAATACCTTC